AACCACTTAACTCAGACTGATGCCAGCTCACTAATAGTCACGGGAGACCCCCAGCTAACACCACCTAGCAGCACAACTCGTAACTACAAAGCATGCACGCGCAACAGGTCGTTTCCGGTTATTTTTGGGTCCCCCTTCGTATTCTGAATTGCTATTATATACTCTGATTTTTAAATCCTGATGAAATGTATTATATTTGGACTGTTAACTCATTGTGGACCGGCAATTTAAATATTTAAATCACTATGGGGACTGGCATTATTAATACTATCCTAACTTGTGCACTGTTCACTTTAAAAATTAATATAAAATCTCCTAATTCATTTTATGAACTAAAATTTTTGGAGAACACTTATCAATGCTCCTAGAAGNGTTCTGCCACCACCATCTGGTCTGTAGCCCAGGCCTTTGCCACATTCATCAGAAATGCTTTGTATTTCAATTTCGAAACAGGGTTTACATTTTTTGCTGTCCCCGCAATCTTACTACCCGCATTTTCGTCGGAGCTACTGTCACTTTTACTGTCTGTGGCCACAATTCTCTGTTGTCCCCTGTCACTGCCACTGTCTGAGTCACCATCACTACGCATCTCACAAGGCACGTAAGCTAGCTCATTGGAGAAGAATTTGTCCTTGATTCATACCCCACCACTAACTACTGGCTGGTACAAACAAATTGAAGACAGGCAAAGCATTCTCTGTTAGAGGGGGTTAAGAAAACAGCTAGGTCATGTTACTGAATACTAAGCAAACATTCCAGAGTTTTATGGCTCAGTATCTATGCAGCTGCGTGGCAAAATAGCAAGGTATAGTGTGTTGCAACCTAACGTGTCCTAAAATCATGATATCATGTGACCAGTCTGCCACATTTAAAAGCGAAAAGCATGAAATCATGCAACCAGTCCGCAATGTGTTAAATTAAGTATTTGTAGTTATGTGATGGAGATAATTGCATCAAACTTCTATATTATGAATAGGTCTTTTGTATTAATTTATGATTGTGACAACAATAGTCATATATCTGCATAAATTTGATTATATTTGAATATTTTATGTACAAATTTTTTACTGTGACTGTATTGCATGTTGGTGGGTCCATTGTTTTTATGTATGTGTTTATGCATTTTGACATGTTCTATATCCTATGGCATGCGTGACCTGAAAGGATCTATGGAATTTAAAATAAAGTGAAAGTTAAAGTTACATGTTTCACAATTTCATTTTTGTACATGCGAAAACATTTTTGGCTCCATGCCAAGAGATTAGTATCTGCTGAGACATCTGAAGCCAGCTTTACAGCTCCCAGATTATCACTATGTTACACTGTTTTGTGACACTTTTGTGATACAAGTATGTTTTATGTCTAATGTTATTACAAATTTCTTGTGTTTAATGATGGAACCTGAAACTTACCTTGGGGCTGCAGTTCCCCAAACTCTCAATAACCCGCAAGGCCTCAGTCATGTTTTAGAGTTTTGTCAGTTCCCAGAAACTCAGCTCTGAACATCCATTATGCAGTCCCTTACTGAGTGATCACTCGGAACTTGCAGAACTTCATAAACCCATTATAATACACCCAAAGATTCCATACCAATAAATCCAGAGTCCACTACATGACAGAACTATGAGCTAGGTAACTCTATCCCCCCCCCCTCAAAACTTATTTCCCCAAAATAAATCTTAATATTATCCTCTAATCTTCTCCTTTGCAGACAGTATGACACTGCAACTGAGTACATGGAAAGGCCTTGTATGCAACATTCTTGGTCAGTTCATCTAAAATATTTGCTAAGTACTAGTTAATATCAATAAATTTCTTACCACGGATACTGAATGCTAGATTACTGAGGTTAAACATTGATTCACTGTTTATGTTTCACTTGGTCAGTTCATCTAAAAAATTTGCTAAGTACTAGTTAATATCAATAAATTTCTTACCACGGATACTGAATGCTAGATTACTGAGGTTAAACATTGATTCACTGTTTATGTTTCACTTGGTCAGTTCATCTAAAAAATTTGCTAAGTACTAGTTAATATCAATAAATTTCTTACCACGGATACTGAATGCTAGATTACTGAGGTTAAACATTGATTCACTGTTTATGCGATGATCCAGTTCCTTCTTTAAAGCATATTTAGCCTCTCGTTCAGCCTGTAACAGGAGATACAGATACAACTACATACTACTGATTATTATTTTGTGACATATTGCACCATGGAGGACATCCCCTCCCCCGCCAGTGGTGATGTAACAACATCAAGAGTTGTCGCTCATACAGTAACAGGCCAGTCAACACTCTGCCCCCTCCCCTGCGGTAACGTGGCAACACTTCCCACTGTGACGTAACAGGCGAAAACACTTGTAAACACGGTGACTAGGCAACAGGGAAGCAAGGCGTTTTCCCTTGTCTGGCTGAGGGTTTATAAGAGAACTGCACTGCCTTAGGAGTCAGCGAAGACTCAAATCTGAGACAGTAAAATATGGTTGTGAGTTCCAAGGGACTCAGACCCGAGAAAGACTACACTGGCAAGGGCCAGCATCATATACAAAAGGCAGACACGTCCTCTCGTCAGAGAGGGCGCCCCACAAAAACAAGACCGTAAATGCCAAACAGTAATAAATATCTGGTCATGAGCCCCAGATGGGGCTCAACACCAAGACTTACTGACTGACTGACCGTCAGTCGCAATGTGACTTGGACTTGGACTAGGAGTCAGTTAAATGCAGCAGCTGCCGAAGAACTTTGAAATATAGCAGTGGTCATGGAAAGAAGATCCGAACACGTGGTTAGAAGTGTACGATAACTGAGAGGTCAGCAAGCGAAGACTTATTGTGTGACTTCAACATCGTGTGCTGTAGTACAGTTATATTGGGAGTGTGTAATTACGTAGGTCATACCGAAAGTCACGAGCAACCAGCTGTTGTGTTAACCTTGAGTGTCTTGTGATGTCAACAGCTTGCATCACGTGACCAGTATCACTCCTAACAAAATGGCCGACAATGATATGTCATTTCATCAGTGTGCTGTCATCGAATNTCAGTGAAAAGCCATCACCTCAGAACTGCTGCAGAGATATCGACATGAAGGTGATGATTTTTTTGCTCTGTATTGTGACAGGTGACGAAAGCTGGGTTCACAATTTCGAGCCTGAAATGAAACGGCAGAGTATGGAATGGCACCATTTGCATTCTCCATCAAAAAAGAAGGCAAAGACGGTGCCATCAGCTACGAAGGTGATGGCCACAGTCTTCTGGGGTGCAGAGGGGTTTATTCTGGCCGAATTCCTGGAACCTGGGCAAACCATCAATGCTGCTCGTTATGTCCAGACGCTGCACAAGCTCTGTCGTTGCATTGTGTGATAAACGTCCAGGACGAAACATCATCATCCTTCATGACAACGCTCGCCCCACACACCGCTTGCCTCACATTGGAAGCAATTGCAAAGATGGGGTGGGAAGTTCTTCCAAACCCCTCCTATAGCCCTGATCTGGCACCCTCCAACTACCATCTTTTCGGATTTGTGAAGGATCAGCCGCATGGACAATGTTTTGAGACAAAGGAGGCATTTCGGAAAGCAGTGCGTCAGTGTCTTCGGATGGCTGGAATGGAATTTTACAGAAGGGGAATTTTCAAACTCCCAGAATGCTGGGAGAAATGTGTACAAAGAAGTGGCGATTATGTAGAAAAATAAAGAAAGGTCTGTAGATTGAGGTGATGTATTTGGTTTGTCAATAACAAACCATGTTACTTTACAAAAAAATTGTTGCGCATGACTTTCAGTATGACCCTCGGAAGAGAGACTTGTATAGCTCCCGAGTTATAAATACGTGAAGACTACTGAGGATAGACTGAATAGAATAGTGTGTAGGGTTTATAAATTGTGTAAAACCGCAACAGTGTTATAAGTACTTGTAGTTAAGATTTGTACGTTGTTAAATAAACCAATTAACGATCTGAATGGCGTCTTTAGTAGCACAACATGTTACAATATTGTAACGTTGACAGACACAACATTGCTAGGTAACAGACCCTTAAACACCTCGTGACCGAATACATGCGAGGAAACGATGGAAGAGCGGCATTTTCTATGTGGTCAGTGCCATGACTGCTGCTATGGAAAGTTTGGTAAACACATTTCAAAAATAGGGGCTATGTTTTCTGCGTTGTCGGTGCGTAAGCTATACAACGGTAATTACAGACAGAACAGAGGGGAGTATTTGAGTGTATTTTAGAGTGTTTAAGTGACAGCCATGGGAAGTTCATGGTGTGAAGACTTGGCGTGTGATTGGAAGACTTTAATTATGTGTAATACCTGGAGTGATCTGAAGTGCTAGTGTTTGTGTTGAGATCCATTACCAAGAGAGGACTAGTGTGCATGTAACAGTGGATTATGGGGTGTATGTAAATCAGCAACAGTGCTGTATTTAAGTGTAATTAAGAGTGTGTGTGTAACCAAGCTGCTAATAAATCCAATCATCCAAACGAGAATCTTGTCATTTTGTCACTCATATCCCCTTACACGGGACAATATCATGCACCATAAAATTCAAAAGGTTTCAGTTTCAGTATACAAACTTCTCTAATAATGGAGTTTATCATGAATGACAATCTAGCATAAAAAGCAATTTCCTACCAAATTTACAAATCCAAAAGCTGACAGCTGATCAAAATCTTTTGTTAAAAATAAAAACAGATTTCTGCAGAATATGTATGTATTATGTGAATGACTTTTCCTATCCTTATGTTACATTCCTTTGCCTTCAGATGATAATATGTCATGCCAGGCTGAGCCAGCCTTCAACCTCACGCTCTGCTGAAAACATGCCCAAGTCTGTCAACATCTGCAAGGAAATTGCCACGTAACTGCATGGCTGTAGGTATATGAGATCAATACGCATAAAACTGTCATCAATTTTTAGCCAGGTACTTCAAAAAAAGAAAAGGAAACCAAACTAATAACACTATGACATCTAAGGAGAAATATTTTCAAGAGAAGCACTTGCAGACATTACCTGAAGAGATTCAAGGGCTTCTTCCAATTGTTTCTCTGCAATCTGTTTAAGTTTTGTGAGCTCCTCAACCTGTTGATGCAGAAGCTCAACATCTTCTTGTAGTCTACGAATTTCATGCTTTGCTCCTTCAAATTCAACCTGAAGGAAAGCGTAGCAATGTTAAATTATTACATAAAGGGCAGCCTAAAGAAAAATGGTAAAGCTGTCCCTGTGTTTGAGCACTATGCCATGGAGATGTATGGGGGAGTGGAAGTAGAGATCCAAGTTTTCTTAACCTCAGAACTAGTTGTATGTGAGTGGTCAGCTTCACATTCCAGCCGCTTTATCCCCAGGGAAAGAGCTCCTGGGTCTCACTGGATATAAGGCTGGGTGGTCCCCAGATCTGGTCTGGACCGTCTGGAGAAGAGAAAGTTGAGAAAAATGAACGAAAACATGACATATGTACCTGTGATGATTTCAGAACTGAAACTTGTTTCTGAAGACTGATGTTCTCCTCTTCCAGTTCTGAGTAATCCGTGATGAGACGCGTCTCTCGGAACTTGATCTCTCGTAGCTCAGATCGAAGATTCCTTCTTTCCAGCTCCTTTTCCTCCTTACATTTGTCCAAATCACAGTTTTCTTGTAACACTCTATCCCTCTCGTTTATCACTCGTTCCAGTTCTTGGCGGAGCTAAATATACAACAATAATCATGTTATCAGTAACAAGAATAAAGAATTTGATTTGTTTCATTCTGGTCCGTCACACTAATATTATGAAAAAGCTAAATAGTTCCGCTCAGTGTGACTGGTAACAAACTCAAACAAAGGAAAAATAATCTGGATAATAAAGCCGAAAAAGAACAAAAATGGGCCACATTTACCAATACGGGAAATTACATACGAAAAATTACAAAACTCTTCAAAAACACCAACATAAAAATAGCCTTCAAAACAGCTCACTATAGGTAAACTAGTAAGTGAAAAACGAGAAACAAAGCGCTACGAACAAAGTGGGATATACAAAATAAGCTGCCAAAAAGTATACATCGGCCAAACTGGTAGAAATCTAACAACAAGGTACAAGGAACACATAAGAAACATACGACTAAACAAAGACGAATCGGCATTTGCCCAACCCATACTAAACAAACACCACCAGTATGGACCGATGACAGTAATCATGGAAATCATTGACAATGCCAAAAAATGGGAGCATCATGAATATAAAAGAAAGTTTCCATATATATCACTTTAATAAGCTCAACAAATTGACTGAAGAGCAAAAAAACACAAAGGAAAGTGACAGCCAGTATAATATGTTAGACCTCATAATACATCATCAGTACACACCCACACTAACGTCAGAGACACAAGGAGTATAAATATGTGGTACTACACGACCTAGAACCTATGCTACAAGCCAGAAGGTTGCAGGTTCAAGTCCTGATGAGGTCATTGGATACTTTTCAGTTTACCTAATCCTTCCGGCCACATTAGGCCCTGGGGTTTACTCAGCCTCTAACAGAAATGAGTACAAGGAATTAATTAAATAATTTTCCTGGGGAGTAAAGCGTGGCCGGTGCGTAAGGCTGACAACCTTACCGGCGTCTTTGAGCCGACTGTCTAGATAGTGTGGGACCCTCGACGTCTCACAACCCTACTGGCCTTCACGGCCTGTTACTTTACACAACCTAGAACAGTAAAACAACACAGCGGGCCACAAACACATACAGGACAACGTTAAAGGTCGGACGAAATAACAAAAGTTTTTACAGAACATAATAGGATTGATGAAATAATAAAATATACCCATGATATATTTGCAGAACCCTCTTCTCGAGAATGACAAGGTGGCACACATTTGGCCCCCGTCAAAAGAAATAATAAGAGGGACAACACAAACAGCTTGGTTTATGAATTCCAATAGAAGTTTAACAAACTAACTGTAAATATTTTAAAGTATTGGAACAGCCGCTGTAGTTGTAAAAAATTTAGATTTTACAGCCAATTGTATATTGTTTATATTGTATGTATATACTTTAACTTTCAGAATGTGTACTGTAATAGTGGCTTCTAATTGTACTGCTGTAGAGGTGTCCCTCTGAAAATGGTCTCTGAAAACTGAAACATGTAAGGGCGTGAACAACTGAAATAAGAAAATCTTAACCAGTCATACTGAACAGAACTATTTAGCTTTTTAAGAATAAAGAATTTAAACTTCAGTTCTCAATTCACATAATTTACAGTTCTTACTTGTCTTGTTTCATTTTCCAGCTCTAGAATCTGGGAGTTGAGGGAGGTCTCACGAGCAGCAGACTCTGACAAAAGTGATTCTTCTTGCTCAATTCCAGTCTTGGTAGCCACTTTGTGAGTTGTTTGGAATTTTGCTAATGCCTTCAATTACAGATAACATAAAACAAACTCATTAGAAATGTTATTTCAGAGGGGCATACTGCCAGAAGAAGGTAGTATGAGCTTCCAATATGTTAGAATGCATGTACCAGGCTACCCAGTGTCTAAATCCAGAAGACCTCAACATCATTTAAAATTTCCTCACAAAACTGACGTCAGGTTTTCATGATAAAAAAAACTTTTATGGATATAAATACACATTAATACGCATACGTGGTACAGTCATTAAGTTCGTGGACTGTGGTGTTATTGCATCATATTACAAGGTATTCACATACATTTATGCAGATCCACATCGGCCCTCAAAATAGTTGCCGTTGGCTGCTATGAAAGCCTCCCAACGTTGATACAGCTGCAGAAAACATTGCTGAAACATATTGGCAGGAAATTCCCATACAGCGTCTCTTGTGGCATTGAAGACCTCCTCAGACAACTGAAATCTATGACCGCATAGCTTTGCTTTCAAGCGGTGAAAGAGAAAGAAATCGCATGGTATGAGATCAGGTGAGTATGGAGGGTGTGGCAAAATGATGACCTGTTGCCTTGCCAGTTCCTCTTGGACAAGAACAGAGCGATGTACAGGAGCGTCGTCATGTAGCAACAGCCAATTCTTCATACACCAAACGTTTTGCTAGGGGATTTGCAGATCTTGATGTTTGCCCATTGTTCAAACTGCCACGTTTTCGATTTCCGCCACTTGCATTTAACTGCAGTTCACAACAGAAGCCGTAGTTCTGTTTACACTGTTTGCACACAACTGTCTCTTGCTGTGAGGAGAGATGAAATGATGGGGCATCATATCGTGCCTCAACCTATCCACTGTAGTGCACTGCAACGACGCTTTGCGGCCAGTCCACGAACTTACTGACTATGGTAGTGTAAGCCGTATGAATATAAACTGCATATATTTGTGCCACAGTAGTGAGTATCATCAGGCTTACAAGATATAGCTTTTGTGCTTATTTTATAAAGTAATGAGCAGAAATTCACTAGTCATTTATATTAACAGATTTTTCAGCATTTCTCATTTTCTAAAAATTGATAGATTTCACTGTATTTTAAGTCATTCAGAGTGGCAAGGGTGAAGGAGACTAAAAATGGTTTAGATGTTTACATTGGGGTATAAAACCTTATTGCAGAGTTTAAGAAATTAGGTTCTTGAATTGTATTATTAGTGACTGTTCTTAGATGAGAGGTAACTATCAGAATGATCATACAAAAAAATCCTTATTTTCCTCATGGTACATACTTTTTTCAACAAAATCTGTCTTTCAAAAATATAAAAAACATAGCTCTGAAAAATCCTGTTTCTAATGCTAAAAGTCTGTTACAAGTTAGTACGAATATCTTCAGTACAATGTGAACAACAAATGGTCTATGTCCTAACCCTATGAAGCAGAATCCCTCTTGTGAAGCCAACAGTCACTCAACTACTCAAAACAATTTCTCACCTTCCATTATTGAACCTTAAAGTTCTTTACTGTGTTTACGAGAGTCAACTTCACTGGACCCCATCCTGTGCCAGCTGAATCAAGTTCACATTCTCATACCCAGTTTCCGTAACATTCATTTTAACATTATTCTCTCATCTAAGCATGTCTCCCATGTGATCCCTTCAATTTAAATTTCCCTTAAAACTAAAATTTAATATATATGTATGTCATCTTCTCCATATTCCACCCCATGTTCCTTCAGTCGGTCACGCCATAATAGCATTTGGTAGAGTACAAATTATGAAGTTTCTCATTATGTAATTTTGTCCATCATATCTAACAAGAGAATAACATAGGACAAAGCAGATATACAGAATTTTCACGGACTGTGCTGAAAGTGTATTTATTATCTTGCATATCAGGTTCTACAGCATTCTTGCCATCAGATTTTGGTACCTTTTAAACTGAATTCAGCAACTGCTTACATATAAGCCCTCCAATGTATTAATAGTATTGCTAAAATTATACCACTTATTGCCACAACTGCATGTGGCTAGTTACCAGTACTCCTTAATTAAAATTACAAAAATTAAAATTTCATTTAAAATTAGCCAACTCTATTAAATTTAATAAAAAAAGTGAATTCCAGTCTTCTTCTGGCACCTATTAGCGCAATCTTCGGCAGTGCGGGCAAGTTCATATTTCATATAGTTCAGGGTGTTGGTGTGAATGTTGACTCCTCTGATGTATGCCCCTTTGGTTGCAGACCCATTACCAGCTTGTGCAGTTACACTGTCGTTTACCAGGTGTGTGTGCGCAGCTAGTATTTACAAAACATGTAAAAACATCAAAATCTCAAGACACGCTTTTTTTTTTGCCATTACAACATTCTCTTATATATCAAGTAAACTTTCATATTTCCAGCATTAACCTCTATTATACACTGCTGTCTATTTATGCTACTATTATACATGGAGGATTTTTACTTTGCTGACTGGTTCCACAGCTCTGCACATCATGGTGACCGGTGCACTGCCAGTTGCGAGGCGTTATAAATTCTGCTGATGCAAGTAGCATGCCTAAAGGCCGATAACATTTGGAATGAAGGTTAAATTCTTACCTTCGTTCACAGATCACAGGAGGTGTTGAAAATGCTGCCCTCTATATGCGGACATTTCTTGCACCAGTGAAAGAGGTTCTGATTTATCCTCTGAAACTGTTCTGCAGGAATATTTCCAATTTCCCTACAAATATTTTCTTTTAGTTCTTCTGATTGGGGGTTACTGTTGTAAACTTTGTCCTTCAAACAACCCCAAAAGAAAAAATCACAAGCAGTAAGATCAGGCGAACATGTTCACCAAATACCAGTGCTGATAATCTGCCCCTGAAGACAGTGGATAAAGCCTGCAGTGCAGTGCGCTGAGCACTAGCTGGGTCTTGCTGAAACCAGCCATACAGTCTTTCTTCTTCTGTTAGCTCTGGAAAGAACTGCCAAAGAATGGCCTGTACATATATTTCATGATTGTTTCATTAAATATCACCGGTGAAACAATCCTTCTTGCATTTACAGCATACAAGACATCAACTTTCACTGAATGGATCAGAATTTGTGGGATAGATGTGGATTCTCTGAACTCCAGTAGTGTAAATGAAACCACACTTCATCAGAAAAGAATGTCAATTGTGGATCAATTTCACATTTAACAACAGACTGCAGAAAGAGACTGCAAAAATAATCCCTGCTAGCTGGATCACACAGCTGCAAGGTGTGCACAGATTACTGTCGTTTTATAGGACCTAAGCTTCAGCAGTTGTGTTGCCCTTCTTGCAACAGACTTTGGCACTCCAGTCTCTTAAGCTATATATTTCAGTGCTCTAGGTGTATATTCAAGTCTAGCCCCTACAATTTCTTTTTAATTCGCTTAGTGGGTGGTGGAGTCCAACTGGGTCCACTCAGCACGGCGGCCACTGATTGGCCTACTCTAGCCTGCCTCGGGTGATTATGATGATGGAGAATTTGGTGGAATTAAGATTGGCAGGGGAAACTGAAGTACTCGGAGAAAACCCGCCCCAGCACCACTTTGTCCACCACAAATCCCACTTGACCAGAGTCGGGATCGAACCCGGGCTGCCATGGTGGAAAGCCAGCAACTAACTGCTTGAGCTATAGCGTGATGAAGTCTGGCCCCTATGTCATCTAACTTCTCAGTAAAAACTCAGTTTTCATGTTTTTATTATATTCTATTATAAGTCCTGTGGTTCTAAGTTTCTTCACCAAATTGTGAATTGTTTGCCTGCTGGGAACTCTTTTCATCATGAAATTTATGTCAAAATTTTTGCCAACACTTTCTAGCAGGTCCATATTTCACATAGGTGTCATACAGAAATACACGGTGCTTTGAAGTATACAGCACCATGATGTACCACACTGCTCACTAATTGTAACTGAGAACAAATGGCTAACGGAATTGAAAACTGCTGCCTACTGCTGATGAATTATAAACAAACTCCCACACATGAACCACATTGCTCATTTTGAAACATAGTGCCAAACAGTGGTCCACAAAGTTAATAACTTCCCTTAATTTCAAACGTTATCGGCCATCAGACATGCTGATTCAGCGGCAAAATTTGCATGCTCCTGATAGTCGACAGTCCACAAGTCAGAGTGAACCAGTCAACAAATTTAAAAAACCCTCTGTATGTTGAAACTCATTCTTGAGTATGAAATTTCCATATATTTATTTTCACTGTGATTTGCATCCACGTGTAAAAAAAAATCGGATATTTTGGCTACATGTGTCACAACTGAGGGGAGGTATTTCAATCTGCATACTCCCATTTATTTAATCCTCTTGGCTAACCATCCTACATTACCACAGTTAACAAAATATCAATGAAGTCCCTATTTAATTCCCAGGTTATCGATGACTGTTGCCTGAGCATCTACAATACTGACAGTACAATAATGAAATCTTCTGTAACCTAATAATTATTTTCTATTTGCTATGGCCTTGCAAGCAGCTGTAAAATATTCTGCTACATTAATCATATCCAATTTACAAATTGCTGAGTACTTACTCGCCACCATCTCAAACTGTGTTAAGTCACAAAATGAGTTCATTATGTCATCTGTAAAAGTTCATATCACACCAATATACAATATCACAACTCATCAGAAAAACATCTCTGTGGGTATATCATACCTTAAGAGGAAAACTTTATGGAAGAAAGTTTTGATGAGATCTCTGTTATGGCGATGGTGAACTTTTTGATGATGACAATAATGACATAAAGATCTATGTCAGTATCTGATAACAATGTAACCTTGAAGGTGTTTCAGACATATAAAACATGTACTTTGCACATTAAGCTACAACGAGGGATTCGGCATTTTCTGGCATACTTATGACAGTTTAACTTCCATTTTTTAAAGTGCTGTGTTGTTTTCTTATGTCTTCTATCAGTTAATAAAATGTCAGATGTCCTGTTTCAGTCACATGACTGTCCCAATTCTATATAACATTTAGCCACAAATATGGAAGGGAATAGTTATCTTGCTTGGCATGTTTTTCAGTCATAACATTAAAACACAAAACTCAGAAGTGCATAACAGTGAATTTGGGTGTAATTTAGTTACTGGTGCTACAATGAACAAACATGCCTTGTGTAATTTTACATAAACTATCACTAAATTCAGATGCTGTCATTTTTAAAATAATACTTTATTGTCTGTTGTGCTATGAGTTAAATTGTTAGATCTAGCTACCACATCTACTTTCAATACACAGCAACACAGCACAATTACATCTTGCAGAGTTAAATTTCTAATACTGTATTTTGATGTATGCCAGTCCCAGCTCTCTAGACCTAAGGGCTGCATATATCTTTCTCAAATACACCTACAGTAAGAAAATGATGAGATCTAAATCACACAGAACTGCCCAAATCCCTGCTATTAGGAGTTACTGCAACAATATCACAGATCTATCTCACACTAAAATTCAAAGTCAGAGGAACGCGCCACTTAACAATATGCTACATTATGTGTGTCCTGATGGAATGCTGAGTGTTATAGGATGGGCCTTTCAGATCTTGCACTTTTGGGATCAGGCAGGAGAGGGAAAAAAACAATTTTCCAACCCATGAGTGGTCAATATTTTTCAGTTACAAAGAATTTAAAGGGGTCTGAAAAGCTCAGTTGGTATAGCAACTGTCTGCAGTCTGGACGGCCAGGGTTTAAGAGATACCAAAGGATTTAAATAAGTCATCAAAGAATACTATGTTGGTGTTATTACACAAGTTTGTAACATGTGTATATGGAAATAATTAGAGGAAACAGAAGAGGATGACATTTACACAAGAAATATGGTGTGATTTATTTTAAGTATGGTTACATTAATGTGATATAGATATAGGTGAATATACAGCGTACGGGTACAAACATGATGTCCACAACCAAACTAATGTGATACAGACACGGGAAACTCATGTGGTGGTTGCAGGAAGTGAATATACAGCATATGGGTACAAACATGATGCCCACAATCAAAATAATGTGATACAGACATGGGAAACTCATATGGTGGTTGCAGGAAGTGGCCGTCCAGCAAACAAAACTCATGCCCGACTATGAAATGCCGGATCTTGGAGGTCCAACCTGTATATCTGTTACAAAATATCTGAGGAAAGTTCGTCTCTTTCTTCAGCATTATGGGATCCCTCACTCCACAAAATGACTAGTTTTACAATTCAACTACAAACTTTACAAGCACAACACATTAATTTTCTTTAGATCACGAATTTTACACATATGCCTTTACATATTTCTATAACTCAAATTACAGACCTCTTGTGTAATTTCAAGTTCGTGTTTTGAATTCTCGTACAAAGTTTCAAGTTCTTCACACTTTAATGCCAAGCCATCCTTTTCTTCAAGCAGAACTAAACCATAATGAGCTGACTGGATTTTCTCACTAACAGCTTGATCTAATTCACGCCTTAATCTTTGTATGTCTTGCTTCAGCTCCTCCATAGTAGCCTGTTGCAGACTGCAAGACCCAGAGGATGCCATGTTTATCGTCACTATATAACGGCTACCTAATAGTAATGGCTCTGCCTAACTGCCTATGCCACCAGAACATCCATTCTGTCATATTTACATTAACCTTAAATCCGTCGCAGAACACGTGTATACAGGTTTAAAAGAGCTCAAACTGTTACCAGCTGACATGACAAATACACAAACTCAAACCTCGAAACGACTGCCATATAACCCGGAAGATCATGCCGGTAATTATAACCAACAACATCATTGATCGACTTTCGTTCAAATAGGGTAATGAATTTCCTGCAAAGAAAGCAAGTACTGTATAACAAATATTACGAAAATTATTAAATTGGAGCATAAATATTTGAGTTCAAAGTTATAAATGAAATAATGAGTGTGCCTGGCGCACATTGTAAGTGGCGTAACGAAGTCGCGCGCGCACGCACGCACACACCTCAACAGATACCATGATATTATTTTTCAGCTTATTATTACAATTTTTCGAAGAGAGTATCAGATATTTCAGTTTCAACAGTTTTCAAGAGTTTTCAGTATTTTAACAATTTTTGGACTTTTCTAAAATTGCTGAAAATCTTTAAAATTTGCGTGTTTTTCTTAATTTTCTGATTTTTACTCAATATTATAGAAGAATTTTTCACACTTTTCAGATTCAACAGTATTTAGAAATTTCAATATTTTTCAAACATTTTGAATTA